ATCTTGTCCGAAAATTCAACGATAGTGCTACATATTATGAAAATAAAGGCAGGACGAAGTTAGTCTAGACTAGATTAACAAGCTTCATGCATTTGAACGTAGTAGTGAACGGTGTTTTAATTATCCTCCCGATCTGATTTTCCGACCCTATGAGAGGCAGAGTGGATCAACGGAGTATGAATACGAAATCAAAGTATTAGTTGATCTACGGATATTGGAATTAACGGTCTTTATCTGCAAGACACAATTTCATTTGGAGTTATTTGAATAGATAAGGGATATAACCCGGTTCGCTAGATTGCTGACGATGCTGCTAATAATAATGATAGCTTCAGTACTTGAATGGACAGGAATATATCGTCTCACTATGCGTGATCGAATAATGCATCACGAATGGAAAACACATTAGGACAAATTGGAAGAATCTTTTAGGAATGGATTTAATGTCGAGTTAAAGTTAAGAGTGTCATAAATGCAGATAGTAGTGGAACGCTGTCGAGTACAGCATTGCATCGACCTGTGTATTAATTTACAGGAATTTCTTAGTATTACGAACTGTTGCATAGAGCTCTTGATATCTCATTTGCTTGTGCTAATAAGGTTACAGCTAAAAGCAGCCGAAACGTATTGTATGCATGAAGATATTGAAGATATTGTAAAGAGATAAGCGACTATTCCACCTGATAGAATGGTGTCAGGATAAAAGAGAGGACAACGCGGTTTTGTGATGTATGAGTCAACTAATCACTCTACATAAACGTGTATATGGATGTATTGTTTTGATTTTCGACATTATATTACCTATTTCTCTGAGCAACGGTGCTACCCCCTGGATCACTAGTTACTAGCAGTCTGTGCTTGAACAAGCCCATTGGCTAGTCGGAAATAGACAAGGGGCGTACAATTTGTTATCTATTTCAACCGATTGATTGCTATTTAATTATTGAGTCAGTGTTATTTGGTTTATTGATTTGTATTCACATGTGCGTCATTATTGAGATAATAGTTTGCCGTAAGCACGACCGGGTTAAGACAATCCCGGCACTAGTTGCATCCAGAGGAGGTGGCTAGTTTCGTCTTTCATGAACAGTGTGAATTCAAAGGTTACTGGCTACATGAGACAATAGCTTCAACCGATAGTTGTATGCTGCGGCGGTGATGGTCAAATGAGGTTACTCTGGAAAAGAAGAATTGAGTGTGATATTCTATAGACAAAAGAAAGCAGAACAATATTGAATAGGTATTTATATAAACTGTGAAAGAGAACAGTTAGAACTCGGGGTTATCTTTTCAAACATAAAACGTATTTCAACATTCACCATAAAATAAAAGGAAAAATAACGCCTATAAAAAATAAAGAAGTATATAAATACCTGAGCTATAACTCTTTGAAATTATTAAGATGTTTGCGACCAATGCCTGACCAATCAATCCAAGTTGTTGCAATGTTTCTAGTGGAGTGGTTTCACGAGTACTAAGAATCTTGTTTGAAATATTATTAATCACCCTCAGATTACTAGAAGTATTTTTATCAGCGACATTTTTCCTTATACGTTATGGAACATTATTCGAAATCACATTGTACTTGAAAATTTCGTCATCATCGTACGCAATTCATATGACGAGCTACACTGAAATGTCGAGCATGGAGGGCAGCTCACAGTTGCAATATATTTAGAGACCGGAGTCAGACAAGGCTGCTTATTCACGCTTTTACTCTAACCCACAATGAATTATAAAGGCCTCTATCTTTCAGAAAAGCACGGAATACAATAGACAACTTGGATTCAACTGGACAATTGAATAGAATTCATCACACTACATCAACTTCATGGACTACGAAAAAGCATTTGATAGCGTAAAAAGGACAATATCATAGAAGCTTTTTCGACACTGTGGCGTGCCTGAGAAAATAACCAATATCATACGGAATTCCTATGAGAGATTGAACTGTAAAACCGTGCATGTGGGACAGCTTACAGACTTATTCGAAGTAAAGACCGGTGTCAGGCAAGGTTGCTTACCCTCAATCTTTCTCTCCTGGTGATCGACTGAATCATGAAGACATCAACATCTGAAGAGAATCATGGGACACAGCAGACAGCTAGGATGCATATGGACGATGTAGATTTCGCAGATGATTTGGCTCTTCTATCGCAAACGCAACAACAAATTCAGGAGAAGACGGCCATGTAGCAGCAGCCTCAACAGTATTAGGTATCAACATAACAAAGGGAAAAAACAACATTCTCCGATACAGCACAGCATGAAACAATGAAACACACTGAAGAAGCTTTGGAAGATGTAAAAAACCCATACATATCTGAGCAGCATCATTGATGAACAGGTGGATTGATGCAGGTATGAAGGCGCGGATCGCAAAAACAAGAGCATTATATCTACAATGAAGAACATCTGGAACTCAAAACAACTGTAAATCAACACCAAAAACAGAATTTTCAATACAAATGTCAAGACAGTTCTACTGTAT